ATGTTTGATTCCATTCCTTTCTGGATTGTAAGGTTTGTGCTGAGAAGTCCAATGATAATCTAATGGGTTTTCCTTGATAGGTTACCGTCTTCTTTTTTCTGGCTGCCCTGAGAATTCTGGCTTTGTTGTTGATTTTTGATAATTTCAATATGATGTGTCTTGGTGAAGGCCTTTTTGGATTGAGATAATTGGGTATTCTGTTGACTTCTTGAATTCCAAGCTCCAGCTCATTCCTTAGATTTGGGAAATTCTCATTAACTATTTGTCTGAAAATGCTTTCTAGTCCCTACTCCTGTTCCTCACTTTTGATAATGCCCATGTTTCCTCTCCTGATGGTATCAGCTAGCTCTTGTATTTCTCTTTCATTATTTTTCATTCTTCAGTTTCTCTCTCTGTTCTTTTTCTAATTTATTTCTAGATTTCTATCTCTGATATCACTGATCCTTTCCTCCATTTGGTCACGTCTGTTTCCCAAGCCTGCTGTTTCAGTTTTCAACTCTTGTAATGTGTGTGTGTGTGTGTGTTTTTTTTATCTCCAGAAGATCTATTCTGTTCTATTTGAGGGTTTCATTTTCTTTGCTCTGCTCATCTAGTTATTTTTAATTCCTGAAATTGTTGCTATGACTCACTGAGTTTTTTCAGAAGTACCATCCTAAATTCTCTGTCATTTAAGTCACATATTTCTATGTCTGTAAGTTTATTTTCTGGAGATTTTTCTCTTTCTTTCTGAGATGCCTTGTCATCTTGGTTGTTCATGGTGTTTAATGGGCTGTTTCTCCACCTGGGCATTAATGGAAGTGTATTCTGCTGTTTTTCCAGAAAGAAGATTTATTATATAAAGATCTCTCTTTAACCTGCTGCAAAGAAGGCACTTTTCTGTTGGTTTCCAGTAGGTGGCATGTAAGCCTCTTGGATCCTTGCTTTATACAAATGCTAAATAATGCCTTTTTTATTTTCTCGTAGATATTTAATCACGCTTGCTGCCCTCATTTTTAGTCTCTGTCAGTGTCAGCGACAGTCTCAGCAGCGTTTGCTCAGAATCCCCTGGGGCTCCGCAGTGATCGGTCTCAGAGCATCTGCGGGGAGGGGCCCTCTGGTTTGTGGGTTGAGGGCTGCGGCTCAGCCTCGGTTTTGCAGCCGTGGCTGGTAAAAATCAATTGTTGTTTTTTGCAGTTCCATCCCGCTTCTCTGCTTTCTGCCCTGATGACTGTGCCCTGCTGCTGGCTGCATAGAACTCACAGGTCTCCCAGGCAGGGCTGTTTAGGGAACTTGCTGCACATTCTCCCCTTCCCCTCCTCCTGCAGGGAGCTCTGGAGGTTGCAAGAGGCAGCTTCTTTATTTCTCCCAGTCTACCGCACACCCTGGATTCTGTCTTGTGGTAGCTCTCATGCGCAGATCCCATGCTGAGACGTGCTGGTGTGCAGTTTGGATGTTTTTTGTTCAGTTTTAGATGTTCAGCTTATTGTTGTTTCAAGGGGAGAGATCTGAGGACATCTCTCACTTTGCCATGTTTCCAAGAATCCTCTAGAATATCTTTTTCATCAAATCACCAACTAGAAAGGTAGCTGTCAACTGGGCGAATCGGCGTCTGAATCCAAGGGTAGGTTGAAGCCACTGTGGTGAGAGACTATAATCCAGGCTGAGAGGCGAGGTGATGGCTATGCCTCCTCTTCCATCTCCTCAGTGCGGGGAACATGTAGAGCCAGGGGGAGACCAGTCGAGAAGACAAATCGCTGCTTCTTCCTCCACTTCCTCCTCCTCCCACCTACTAAATTCCTAGTCTGGTGCTTCTTGGTTTCAGTCTCTGTCGGAAACTCTCCAGCATCTCTACTTCTTTCATTAAAGCCAATGGTTTCTAGAATTTACACTGGTCTGGTGTTACAGCACTAGCAATTTCTGGATTTCAAAGATATAGACCCCAGAGCATTCTGGATGCCGCCAGGAGCCACACAGTGGTGGTGAGCACGGGGCGTGGGCCGGGGGTCCTCAAGTGTAATTTTATGTGCATCAAAAAAAGACAGAAAAAAAAGACAGACTGATATTCTTCAGACATGAAAATTTTTCTTAAAAAAATGAGGGTGTGTGGACATTACAGGATTAGAGGTAGGTACTTTTTTAAATGTCAGAGAATTTGTGGTAATTAAGTCCTCAAATTATTGAAAAGGTAGAAGATGCTCTTCCTCGTGTTTGTTTATAAATTTAGCTCAAGAACAGAAGGATAATGAATTTAAATTTTTAAATATATTTTATTTGTCGTTTCGAAATAATACATATTTTCAATGTTGCTGATTCATTCAAAGGAAACTGGGAAGAGGAATAAATGGAAACTACATCGGAGAATCAAAGCATTTGAATAGAAAACTTTTTTTTTTTTTTTTTTTTTTTTTTTCGGAAAAAGGAAAGGAAAATATATTTACATATTCTTTAGTCTACTTCTACTAAAGGGAGCGTGAAAAATAAACTGAAATAACTTTCTCAAAAGAATTACATAAGCTATAGTAAATCATTTCTATGTAGGGATGAAGTACAGTGTTGACAAATCTTTAAATTTTAAGAGAAATTGGATATCTGGATGTAACCAAAGGAAGCATGTCTACAATTTGAATTTGATCCATGGAGGCCAGCTTATGACTATTGATTTGGTTGTATCTTATACCAGCAATATCTATGGCCCAGCATAACCTTTAATACTCAAAACAATGATAGTCATTAAAAAGAAATTTTATGTTCAGAATGCTCTGTGTAGGACCTCTTACAAGATTTCTAAAGACAGTGAAGGCATTAAAAGTTAATAATAACAGCTAATATTTTCTGATCACCTACCTGTGCCAGTTACTATTCCAAATGCTTTGCACAAATGAATATATTTAAGCTTCAGACTCTCTGTGAGGTAGGTGCTATATATCTTCGTTTTACTGATACAGGCATAAAGAGAAGGGGAGGGGTAAAGTAACTTGCCCAGGGACACAGAGATAGTGAGAGGCAAGGCTGGAATCTAAACCCAGGAGTCTGTCTCAGACTGCTAGGCTTCTTAACTTTCCTTCCATACTCTTATGTGTGCCATTATATCTCTTAGCATGTCATTAGCAGGTAATGAGTATCTTTAGTAATAGAAAAATTATATTTTCTCTTTTACTCTCCTCTCCTTCCACTCAGAACTATAAACTATAAATCATGAGTATGGACTATAAGTTTTTTGAGTCCTTAACGATTTCTTTTAACCTGGAAATCCACAGAGGAGCTTCAAGAAGACCTTGAGCTTCCTGAAAATTTACACAGTGTTTTGTTTAACCATGCATTTCCATAGCTTTCATCAGATTGCCACGGGATCTATATTTTTTCTAAAAGATTCAGTAGAATAGAATTTTCTTTGAAAACTTTATTATTAAAATAAGAACTTAACACTTCGTTTTTGTTATGTGTATGTTTTTTACAGAAATTGGACTGATTTGAGGCACTATAATGTAATGTTTATGAATTTAGGCTCTGAGTTAAATCTCATTCCACAAGATTTTCATAATGGACAAAAAAATTTAATAATGGTAGCTAATATTTTCTGATATCACATTCAAGTTAATATTCTAAATGCTTTACACAAACATATTTAATCCTTAAAACCACCTATAAGGTAAGTACTATCATTTTCCCATTTTACTGATGAAGACGGATAACAAGTAAATAACTTGCTTGTGTATTATGTTTTTAATTGTACAAATTACTTGGGCTCCCTATGCCTAAATTTATTCATCTGTAAAATAGGAATAAGAACTACCTCAAAGGATTTGGGGGAGGAGAGCATGAGATAATGCATATAAGATGTTTAATATCATGCCTGAAATGTAGTAAATGCTCAATAAGAGTGCCTTATAAAATGTTTGTAGCACTTGCTACTCAATTATACATTCTCTTTGTTATGCCCTTGATGAAAAATTTAGATACATTTCTGATATACTATAGACTCTTAACATTTATTTTACTTAGAGTTTTGATACCCATTACTAGAAATACCTTTGTAGCCATGTCATGAAAAGTATTTTTATTTTATGTGTAAGTACATTTATTTCATTAACATGAACATTTAGAAGTTGTTCGTTGCTTTGCCTGTTTTCTAGGTAGTTAGATTTCATGGTGGAGCTCTTCCTGCTTATGTTATATCTAGCATCCTTCTTGCTTATGGAGGACAGTTATACTCTCTTTTCTCAACAGGTAAGAATATTATTCTTTCCTCCCTCCTTCCTTCCCTCCCTTCCTTCCTATTTATTACTTTATTACTACTTTTTTATCCTTCATGTGGCTTTATTACTACTTTTTTATCCTTCGTGTGGCTAAGGGAGACACATCATTTCTTGAAAATTTACAACAGTGCTTTATTACTACTTTTTTATCCTTCATGTGGCTAAGGGAGACACATCATTTCTTGAAAATTTACAACCCATTTCTCTCAAATTCACAGAGATTTGAGATCCTCTAAGTTTTAAGAGATCCCCAAGAAAATTCTTTACTTGTTTCTCCATTTTATATCTTTGTGCCTGAAATTTCTTCTATTTTGAAGACCTCTTAATAGGTAGAGGCTCATTGATAGGGATCTTGTTCACCATTCAATTCTGGGTAGCTCACATAGTGTCAAGCACATAGTAGATATTCATTATAATATTTGGACTGTATCAACTGTATCGATTAGGTCCTGGCACACTGAATGGATAATTGAGAGTTTAATGAAGGACATATTTCAAAATATGTGTAGGATTAAGGGAAACCAACAAGAAATGATAAAATGCCAGATTAACAGCAAAGCCATCTAATACTCCTAGGTACCAGGGCAAGGGAGGGAGCAAACCTAGAGAGCTATAGGAGAGGACAGTGTTATGGTAGCTGCAGCCTCGGGTATGGGAACACTGACCATTGTCAGTCTGTGGCTCAACAGGAAAAAAGGCAGGGAAATAAATACGCGAACCTTATTTCCACTCATTCTCCTATCTGCCAGTGCCTCACATTCAGTGAACCTAACTAGAAGTCAGTCCATAAAAGTTAGCCTCCCAAAATTTAGAGCAAAGGAAAGTGTGGAGAACAGACCTGGAGAGGAAAATATAGAATCTGTAGTACAAAACCTTCCATTGAGAATAGCAATTAGAACAGTTTCCCAGGAGTCTCGACTCAGTTGAACTTGGACAGTAATCAAGGGAGGCAAGAGATAGGAAAAGAGAATGGGGCCAAAATACATAAAAGCAGTCCAAAAACCCCCTGCCATTTCCATCTTGCCAAATCCTTTCACAGCTACTAATTCCCTTTTAATGACTTTTCTACAATTTCAAGTCTGCCATTTGTATTCATTTTAACCTGATTTATTTATATTCCACAAAGAAAGAAGCAACATTCAGTGCACTCTGCCCAGATCCAACCTTTTAATTAAGAGGTTATTTTGGTTATATGACATCAACTATACTTGAATATAAATATCTTTTTTTGAGAGTTTGAAAGACATATCTTACTCTTCTTAGTTTCAAATGACCTCATAATTGATTCTTGAACATACAGAATTTATATCTAGATAGTCCACAGAGACCCCAGATATTAGTTAATCTAGATTTAAGTATGGAATTATGTCTCAAACCAATTAAAGAAGTAATTCTGAACCCGGGATGCTTATCAAAAATCACATGGGTCATATTCACAAGAATTACTAGAAAAAGGACAGATGATTACAAGTGTTAATGAGGGCGTAGAGAAATTGGAAACTACATACACTGCTGGTGAGAATTAAAATGGTATAGCTGCTTTGGAAAGCAGTCTGGCAGTTCCTCAAATGATTAAACAGAGTTTAATCATTTATACAGCACGTATATATCCAAGAGAGATGAAAACATACACCCACACTAAACTTGTACGCAGGTGTTCACAGGAGCAGTATTCATAATAGCCCCAAAGTGGAAACAACCCAAATGTCCATCACCTGATGAATAGATAAATAAAATGTGTTGATACATACTACAACGTGGATGAATCTTGGAAACATGCTAAATGAAAGGAGCCAGTTACAAAGGACCACATATTACATGATACCATTTCTGTGAACTGTTCAGAGTAGGCCAATTTACAGAGAAACTAGATTGCTTATTTGTCTAGGAATGAGGAGGCATTGGAGGTGACAGTTAAGGTGGACATTTTCTTTTGGGAGTAATGGAAATATTCTAAGACTAATTGTGGTAACAGATGCGCAACTAAAAACCAGCGAATAGCATACACTTTAAATGGATGAATTGTATGTTTGAAAATTATATCTCAGTTTAAAAAAATAAGCCATGGAGCTTTGTGAAAATACAGATGGAGAAACCCCACCCTCGGCTTCCAGAATTTGTTTCAAAAGTGACTGAATGGGTATTCTTGTATGAGAACCATTGAATTACATAACTTTTTAATCTTTTGAAGAGAGTCTCTGTGATAGGAATGAATATCTTGCTTTTTCTGACATGAAATATGTTGCTCTTACAGACAATGCAGGATATAAATATGTCTTATACTTAATGAGTATGAATTCTTAACTACATAGAATTGTTTTTTAATCCACCAGGTCATTGCTTAGAATATGCTACTGTGTTGGATAAAGAAGCCAAACCATACAAAGTTGATCCTTTTGTAATTATGATTAAGTTTCTGTTGGGGTAAGTTTTATCTGTGATAAGGATTTTAATTTTGTATTGCATATAAAACATTATGTTTATCTCCATAATGGAATATAAACTTTCCTACAAATTTGGCAGTTGACTTGTTTTATTAAATGAGATTTTTCTCTTAGACGAAGGCCTAATAAGTATATCAACATTTACTTTAATAATCTGACCATTTCAAAAGTAATTATTGAATTTTTATATATATATATATCAGTCTAAACTTAGACTGTAAATATACCAGGCCTTTAGCATTTGCAGAGATATATATGATCTATGATCTTTGAATATCCCAGATTACGAACACAACCATTATAGGATATTAATGAAACAGTGCTTCAGATTACTTTTTTTTCTCATACAATGTATATTTTAGGTCTCTGCCCTATTTAACAGTGCATTCTTTTAAATTAATTTTTAATTCTTTAATGGCACTACATAATCGACTCCTTTTACCCCATCAACCTCCCTCCTCCCCATAACATTCCATTCTTAATTTATTCACATTTTGTTTTTTGCTTAAGAACTATTACTTAGATCTCTTTTCTTCTGTCATTAAAACTAACTTTTGGCTTTCTAACTTCAAAAAAACACTTATTACTTCAGTACAAGGATTAATAGAGAGCAGTAAAGCTGAATCGAGACTCAGGACTCAGGTCCTTGAAGATCAGTAGACTCCTTTGGAAGATAAATTACTTTTTCCCTATAAGAAATTAAAATTTGTTTTTCAATATAATTACGAATTAAGTGTCATAGTACTTTGGGGACTCTGGTGAATCATCATATACTTCAAATATTAAATCCTTGAATGTCAGTTGTTTATTTATTTTTTTGCTTTTATTGTATATTTTCTTTTATCCACAGGTATAAATGGTTTAAAGAATTATGGGACGTGTTATTATTACCAGAATTAGATGCCATCGTTTTAACTAGTCAGAGTATGTGTTTCCCCCTTGTATCCTTGATTCTCTTTCTGTTTGGAACATGTACTGCCTACTGGGGTGGCCTACTCTCTTCTACATCTGTGAAACTCCTTTCTTCATTGTGGCTAGCTTTGAAAAGGTAAACAATGAATGATTAAAACCTTTCTTATTGCTCTTAATTAAGAAAAAAAATTACATTCTGATGGGAAACCTTAAAACTAATTTGCTTTTACTAAACTATAATTTCTAAGTAAAGATGTATAGCAAAATGTGGATTAGTGTTGGAAGTTGTGTTATTATCACAGATAATCATTTTACTGCAAGTTAAATGCTACATTTGATTTTGACCTTAATGTTCGAGTTAATCAAAAAGGTTAGGCAGATTACACAAGTATTTTTAAATTTCACTGTTATAAATCTTTCTAAGAAGGAAGTGTTTCTCTGGCAATGCTTTTATTATGCTGATTTTCAATCCAACCTGAGAGCAAAAGACCCCAATCAAGATATTTAGGATCAGATTAGGTAAAGGTAGCAGAGCTCCAAAAACATCACCTATAGTTTCATTATAGGCCCAAATACATAGTTTGAAGTTACTGGTAGTCTTTTTTGGTAAAACATTAATCTAGTTCCTTTGCCACTCCTCACCAAACATGTTAAATGATTTACTGTCATAGAGGGTATTATGGTGTGATGCCTCTTCTCCACAGTTCTGAGGTGCTTCTGACACCCTGACATGTCTGAGTAATCTCAAGAGTCTAAGAAATAGAAAACCATTCCTCCACCTCTCAAGATCAGAAACATATGCCACAGGGCCTATAATTAATGATTATCCTTAGCAACATTTTTTTCTTAGTGCAAATATCAGCCATAGTTTTTCTAAATGGAAGAGGAGCTATCACTGTATATTACAGAATTTACAATCAAATATGTGTCACCCCTTGCCTTTATTAAAAAATCTTACTGTTTACCTTACGGTGCTTGCATATCAATAAGCAGGAAAGCATGGTAGAGTACTGTATTGTTTTCTTTTTATATGTAATTGTATAAATAACTATTAAGAGTTTTAATTTTGCTTTTCCAGGCCCTCTGAACTTCCTAAAGATATCAAGACGATATCACCAGACTTGCCCTTTTTGACAGTTGTTTTGATCATAGTTAGTTGGGCAACTTGTGGAGCATTTGCCATACTTCTTACTTATCTTTACTATGTGTTTAAGGTATGTTAGATCAATAAAGTCAGAATGTCTGGGCATTGTATCAGACAGGCATAGAATTTCCTGTAGGTGTTGTTAACAAAATTTTAATTACCACTGCAGTAACCTTCTGTTATATAATAGGTTTAAGTGTAAACGTTTTTAACATCTTAGTTATTTAAAATACACAGTTAACTGTAGAACTGAAACTATTAGTCTGAGTTGGTTTGTTAAAAAAAAAAAAACAGAAGGGAGAAGATATAATCTGTTTCAGATTGTTTCTTGCTCTTTCAAGTAATGTTAACTTTTTAGAAAACATTTTACTAGAGCAATTTTTATTCACACCTCCCTTTGAACATGGGTAATAGAACAAATAGAAAGTTTGGTCAGTAGGAGCAAGCTATCAGTTATGTTGAGATAATGTAAAATGTTATATATGTTGCTGAAGAGTCAGAAGACAGTGATAAAAGTAAGTAGGCTGATAATTTTACTGAGGAAGTGAAAAGTACTTTCAAGAAGGCTGACAGCTTTGCAAGAAAATAGAGGTCATACACTACATACTCTCCACATTAGTTTTATGTGGAGACAGTTGATACCAGAATGGATAATATTTTTTTCTTTATTAAACAAAGATTTATTTGCATCTACTTTTAACACTAATAAATGCACATTATAGATTATTTTTAGTTTTCTAAAGGAAATTTATGTCCTTCAGAAAAACATTCAGATCTACTTTTATTTATGAATAAATTTTTGGTTTTTTAATTAGGTATTTCAAACTGACTCAATAAGCAAAACTTTCTCAAATACTTAAGCAAACCTAATAAATTAAACTTATAGACTTTCTTGGATTCTTTAAACATTTCACCACCATATATAATTGAGTTCAGATTTTCAAAGATTTAGAACATATAAAACATGTTATTCTTTATACTGTACTGAATGTAATCAAAATTTTCACTCACAAGACACTTTTAAGTTGCTATAGCAAAGGTATCATTCAGAGGCTCCAGAATGTAAAAAAGTATAGCAATATATCTTGGCACCAACATACTCTGGAAGTGTGTATTATTTTGTTTCTGTTTTTTAATCCATGATAGAAAACACATATAGTTATTATTTTATCTTTTCTAAAAGAATATTTTTAAATGTTTAAATGAATTTTAGTTTAGATTTTTTTAAATTTTAGATTATAGTGTTTCTCAGTTTTAATAATAATGTTTGTTTTTTGTTTCAAAATAAAACTAAAATTAAAGTCATTTCTTTTTCCTAGATTGTTCATCTACAAGCCAGCCTAACAACTTTTAAAAATAGCCAAACTGTGGTAAGCTTTGTTTTCAAAACTTTACATTGCTTTAATATGAAAGAATATGGGAAAAATTTTCTGTGTTTTTTTTAAATTGAGATTTTCCAGTGTTTAAAAAGTATTGTGAATTTAAGTAATTTTAAGAAAAGTGAACTTAATGAATATTAAAGTAAACTAAGTCTAATTTGATCTTTGTCGTTTTTGTTATTACAAATTATATTTTAACTTATTTTGAGTAATTAGAGGAATAAATGTTTTATAACTGATAGCCACTTTAAAACAAGGTAATTTCAGTACTTTTAATCAATTTGGTAGTGGAAAGATATATTTATTTAGCTATTAAGTAATTGAAGATGATTCTAAATACAATAATATACTTAAATTTTACTTAGTACCTTGATATGTTTACTTTATTGCTTTGTAGAATCCCAAGCACTCTAGAAGAAGTGAAAAAAAATCCAATCACCATAAAGACTCTACAGCACACCATCTTCGTTTATCTGCCAGTGATGCTGAAGATAGTCTTCGCATGCACAGTACTGTGATTAACTTATTAACATGGATTGTATTACTCAGCATGCCATCTTTAATTTATTGGTTAAAGAATCTTAGGTGCGTTTTATTTATATAATTAAAATTTATATGGCTCAAACAATAAATATCTATAAGTATAGACTTGCTAGATTCCTAATGATCCATAAAACTTTCTCAAGAATAGGAAGCTATATATCACCTGAAATTCATTTATAATACATTCACATTTTCTCCCTTACCATGAGAGTATAAACTTCGGGAAAATAAACTTCCCCCAAATCTGCCCCCAAAAAGAAGGAATGTCACCTTTAACCTTCTTTGATCTAGACATACATGAAAATGTGCTTCATTTTGTTGACTTAAAGTATTCATAATGCTAGTGTTTTATGTATTTTTCAATTCATGATCAATTTTATGTTTTCTTAAATTTGGAGGGAAGAAAAATGCTTCTATTTAAAAATATTAAAATCTACGGCCATGCCACCCTGAACAAGCCCGATCTTGTCCGATCTTGGAAGCTAAGCAGGGTCGGGCCTGGTTAGTACTTGGATGGGAGACCACCTAGGAAGACCAGGTGCTGTAGGCATAAAAAAATAAAATAAAAAATAAGAGATCGTAAGCTGACAAGGTCCTTTGCAATCTGTGAGGTCAACCAAGGGTTGCCTTGCCTAAAATAAATAAATGAATGAAAATAAAAATATTAGAAGTAATGAAAGAAATATGCACTCTTCTAATGTGTTCCATACAATTAACTAGAATAAATAATCAGCTATCTTACTACTTACTGAAAACCATTATTTGTTTTGCTACCTGATAAGTGTCCTAGGTTAAATGAGAGTCTGAAAGTGCCCTCCAAGATATTTCTAGAATGTTTATTTATTGGTAAATTGATTTTTTTTTTAAAAGGCTACCTCATCTATTTGAACCCCTACTCAGTATAGTTTTGAAAAATGATATAAAACTTTGATTATCTAAATACTGAAAGTTTTTTTTGAAAAGTCAGCAGAACCAAAATAAGTGTGATAAATTACAGCATAGGTTACCAGATGTTAATATTCTTCTCTTGTCCTTCACTTTAAGATCTAGATTTTTATTCACAGATTTAGGGAGAAAATTATTTAAGGAGCACAAATTTATGATTCTGAAAGGCTATAGCTATTTCACTGTCAATAAATGCAAGGGATGAAAATTTGAATTTTAAAAAGATAAGGAACTGTTACTTTATATAGTAAACCTTTATTTTTTCATTTTTTTGCTAGAGCAGCCTTAATGTATTTTTAAAATCTGTTTTATAAAATTGTATATGAACTTTCAGGCATATATTTATGAAAAGGAAATGCTTTCATAATGAATATTTTAATTTCCTTTAGTAGTTTCTGAACATAATTCTCCATATAAAACTTGAGTATAAAGGTAATCTAGAGCAAAAATTATTAAAGATTTCATGAGCTATTTAGAGCTGTCTTATGTCCATATTGCTACTGGCATGTTTTGAAATTTAATTTGATTCTGATAATTTAAAATGGTCAGGTGTGCTTTGTTGATTTACATTTATTTTTTTCTTTTTGATATAGGTATTATTTTAAACTTAACCCTGATCCATGTAAACCTTTGGCATTTATTCTTATTCCAACTATGGCAATTCTTGGAAATACTTACACCGTTTCAATAAAATCAAGGTACAGTAGTTTAATCTTTCTTTTTTCTCATCTATTCTTGGTCTTTATCATCCCTTTTTTTTATGACTGAAGCATGCTCTTTATTCCTGATTACTTTTGAGTATTCCTAAAGGTAAAGCTATAATAGTAATTATGTTTTATATTCAAATATAATTTATATGAAAGGTATTATACTTATTTTCTTAATTGTGGGTTTCACTTATTAGGATATAATAATGTTTTTTTTCTTTAAAAAGTTAACCCTTAAAAGATAGGATTTTCTTCCAAAAAATATAGAGGAGTGGAAGTGGATAGGAATATAGGTAAAGTAAGATTGGCCATGACTTGATAATTTTTGAAGCTGGGTGATGGGTACATGAAGTTTATTATACTTATGTATATGTTTAAAATTCTCTGTAATAAAACTTTTCATTGACTGATTATTTGCTTTCAGGGCCCTTTTAGTTGATTTTTGCAGATACTTGCAGATAATCTAGGATCAGGCCAACCTAGTGTTTATATCTTGGCTCTACTATTTAATAGTTCTATATTCTTAGGGAAGTTTCTTAACTCCTCTTTAGTTTCTTTCCTGATAATACAGATGCTTCTTGACTTACATGGGGTTTTGTCTTGATAAGCCAATCATAAACTGAAAATATCTTAAGTCTAAAATGCACTTAATACTACACTGTAGAGTATCAGTTGTTTACCCTTGTGATTGCGTGCCTGACTGGGAGCTGTAGCTCACTACTGCAGCCCAACATCACAAGAGAGTATCTTACCATATAACACTAGCTGGGAAAAGATCAAAGTTCAAAATTCGAATTATAATTTCTACTGAATGCATATTGCTTTTATACCATCGTCAAGTCGAAAAATCATAAGTCTAACCATTATAAGTTGGGAACTATTTGTATTTTTCTTTTAAAAATATCTTATATGTTCCTCTTACAAATTAAGAATGGTTCCTTATTTATTTGATTGAGGGCTTTTTTGCAATTATAAATAGACTTAGATATTTCCGTAGCGAAGTCTTAGTAAACATTATTATTTTTGTTAGGATAGATTTCTAAAGGTATAATTGCTGAATAAAAGTCCAACTAGTATTTTTAGGTTAGTAAGTTTAAAAGACTGAACAAAACTAGTTATTTACTTTATAGAAAATTTATTTCTAGTCGAAATATGGCTTATGTTAATCATTTCAAGGGTCAACATATTCTATTTTTGCTCACAATGTAGTTTATATAATGTATATTTTTCTGTTTGTTTACAGTAAATTGTTGAAGACTACTTCACAGTTTCCACTTCCTCTGGCCGTTGGTGTGATTGCTTTTGGGTCTGCACACTTATACAGGGTTCCATGCTTTGTCTTCATTCCTCTTTTACTCCATGCATTATGCAACTTTATGTAAGGTTGGATTTAAGGGATGATAAAGATGATTTTATGTCAGTAATAAGAGGGAATGCACAGATCTATCAATGTGGACACCAAGATCCTTTGGAGAAGACATCTATTTTTACAATATCGAAAATAGGAAATTAGTTTTGTAATGCTTGAAGAAAGTAGTTGAAGCATGGTTTTGTTTAGTGCTGTGGCATCTGTGTTAGTCATTTCTGAAAAATTAATAAAAAGATGTGGTGGACACTGTCTTTGAGGACTCCTCTGCATATCAGCTAATCTGCTTGATTGGCCATACTAGGGATCCTCTAAACACTCAGTAAACGAAAAGCATTTTTTGTAATTTCTCTTCCAGCATTCTGCTCATTTCATCAAACTTTCTTCTGAAAAGTGGATTACTTTATATTTGCTACAGTACATATATTGAGAAATGAGTCTTAAAAGATTGATGAAATTCACAACAATTTAGTTTCTCAAAAATGAAGCATCCATGAAGAGTCTTTGGCCAGTTTTTGGCAGCCACAGGAACAAAGTAGGTCTTTTGTTTTCTTCCATCTATGAAAATACATCTTTAATTCTAAGGAGACATGTTTTCTTGGTAACCAATGCAAGACCGACAGACAGATGGAAACCTAATCTAAACTCAAAACTTAGTGAAGTTTTCTTCTTACTTTTCAAATACAATTCTTAGTTTGTATTCTTGGTTAATATCAAGAGACTATTAAAGAGATATATTGTTAAATTCTCATAGATATTTACTTACTGGAATTGAAACAGTTCAGTTGTCTATATCATTTTATTTGTCAATTTAACCATTGAACCCATGGTTGCCAAAAGTGCCTCAGATCATGATGGATTGTTAAAATAACTAAATTCCAATAGTTCGAAAAAACTCTAGGTTTGCAATTTTTTACTACTGTGGAAAAAAAATTAGCATGATCAAATGCAGTACCACATTTGATGTATAAACAGTATACCTGAATAAATTGGAGGATTCAGCCACTAGGTTTACAGTGGAATCTTAATTAGCCAAGGTGATTACTCTTTGACAGATAAGAGAATATTTTTATTTCATTTCAGCTTTCAGCTCACTTTTAGCTCCAAAAGAGTAGGAAATAGGTATTGGAGTTAGGTATCTATGCCTTAAGAAAGAATAAACTCAGGCTGAAGTATACCTAGCTGATAGAGCCCTTCCTTTAGATATGTATGCTATAAATACCTACAATCTCTCAAGTCCTTAAGTCCCAGTAATTCCAACATTGCACCCATGAACTTGTGTCCTCAGTACCCAAGGATGTCCTAGAGTACCAGGTTCATTTATCTGCCATTACATCTGGATTCCCTTACAGCCTCTCAGCTGTTAACTGCCTGTAGAGGGTCACCCCCACATTACTGCCTACGCACGGTTACCCCACTTCTCAGTTGTTCCTCAGTCCTTGCTCTTTGGCATCAGTTGAAAGAAGATCTTGCTGTCATCTCTTAGGGTTGTAAGTTTGTTTGATTTTATTGTTGTCTTTCCCAACTTCATGCTTATTGCTCAGAATTTATAATTTCACTTACTGAGACCATTAAGGGAAGTGATAACCTCATAGGAGACATGGCAGGCATACCAGGCTCTTGTTTGAGAGAAGTAGAAAAGGGATAAAATGCAAAATGCTTGTGGGTTCAGTACCTGGAAGGAAAGAGAATTTATTATACACTTGTCTTAGGGCATACCACATACATATTTAAATAAAGACACATCTGCCTATGTTTAGCTATATACATTCTCATAACTTTTATACACATAGGTAATTTTTACTTTTTCATGGATATGATTTTATTTCAAGTTACAGGTTAAATGTGTCATTTAACTATTCCTGAGTTTGAACTTAGGTCCGTATACAGAAAGAACTTTATAAAGTCCATTAATTTGGATCCTCTATGACAGTCATAATCATTGTTAATGTGATCTATAAATTTTATTTATACATATATAAATATATACCATACCTTTTTTTTTTTTTTTTAAATATTTGAACGGGGTCTTCATCAAGTCTTGATGTACTTTAAACCTAAATAACTACCCAAGATAAGAAGGTAGGGTCTGTCTGAAGATTAGTGAAATTAATGTTTCTACTTTTCCTTGAGAAAAGGAAAGTCCTTTTGTCTTTAAATTTCACATTGTTTCGATCATGCTTACAGCCTATGTTATTAGCTGGTAAAACACAGCTTTATTAGCAATGTTACTAAAAATGAAATTATTTTTTGGTAGTTAGGGATTATCTAATTCATCAAACTTCTGAGCTCTGAAGTTATAACATTTTTATTTAGAGCTTGTTGAGTTTGAATAAATTTTGTGCTTATAAAAATAATCTGGGTCCTATTGTTGGTAACTGGATCAAATATAGACTGCATAAGAAAAATTCTGAGTATTTTCAGTGTTTCTTAAGCCGCCTCTAGAATTACTACTCCTATAATTTAGAACCGATAATATAATAGAAATCATTAAAGCTCTTTTTTCTGGATCTTTTTCATGCCAGAAATTAAACAGATTCTGCTAAATTTTTTCTTGTTTGTCATCGGAATGAAAATATTTAAAATAATGGTCCTAAAAAATCCATTCATGCTTGTCATGTATTAATCAATTTAACTTTTTTCATGTTTTGGTCAGATAAATTTAGATATATGTAATGGAATACCTTTTCTTGAGTGAACTACACTATAATGTTTGCATGATTATACAGTAAGGAAAAAAACTAGTAGGTCTAAAAAATGATTGTTGTTATGGCTCATGCAGGTATATTTATATACATTTCCACCACACACACACACATAATTATATGAGGCACATTATCTGATTTACAAAATAGGGAGATAATTGGGAGCTAAATTTTATCCCAGTCTTTTTGAACAAAAGACAAAATCTCTAATGAACTTTTGTTTACACATATTACTCATGCATTCTTTCACAATAAGTTTTAACAGTCTGAAGAAATAGAAAAGTTGTGAGGCTACTCACATTCTTTGTTAATAAGGATGATAGGAAAGAAAGGTCAGTAATCCAAATCTGAATATGTGTACTATAAATGCTCGAAAATTCACATTTTTTTGATAAATATATTATGAATACAGAAGATTGAATTTTGTATATTAATAACTTAGTTTTAAGAATAGAATAAAATCTAGAAATAGAATAGACTTATTTTATTAATAGTATGAATATAACAGTATACCTGAATTGATAACATGTCTTTCAAAAGTTAGATGATATTCAAAGCTGTAGCTAGATTACAGTGTGTATGGCTGAAAATTTTTAAATCAAGTACAGTACTTTGTAAAAGTGTTTGGCATGTTATGCTGCCAAAAATTACTGTTTGAAATACCAAGTAACCAGTTAATTTCTGATGACTTTGTATAGAACTTGATATATATATGAATGAGAATTATTCTGTACCGATTTGTACCTTGTAACTTTGAACACTTAGGAAAACTGTATCTGTTGATGTATTTTGATTAGTTAAGTGTAAATTCGTTTGCATATTGGAATCCTAATCTTAGTTCAGAAAGTCTAAAAGTAGCCATTTTTGTAAAGTTCATCTGCTATTTTTTTATGTTATCTTGGTTTTTAGTATTTATATAATAGGACTATTACTAGTAAAAGATTTATAAACAAAGCATAGAACTACAAATTGTTTGAAAGCCTAAATGATAGGCATTATTTTATATTTCATGTTGCACTTGTTTTGTTTCATATTAGACTTTTTACATCCCTTTTTTAGGAAAAAAATACTTTTGAATTTTTTTAGCATAATTCTCTACATTGGAAAATATAACTGTATTTATATGGTTAGCAAAACACATTTTGCCACCAAAGCTAAATGACACTGTAAAATACCTCCAGATATTTGTGCCAATGAACTTTTCTTAGCATATTGAGATTTAGAGCAAAAATAATGTTTTCAGTATTTTTCATCTAAAACATATTAAATATGTAAATCCTCAAAACTTATATTCTATACCCTAATTTTTCTTTGAAAATATATAAACCTTGTAGCTTTGTTGTATTCTATTTCGTCTGATTTCTGTAATAGTGTCCTCTGATTTTATTAGGTAAAAGTTAGTTTACCAAATAATAATCTTTCAGTAAATAATTGAAGTAATCATTTGAAGTAATTTTGCTTTAGATTCATCCTGTGATGTAAAACTTTGAATTTTGTTGGTTTATTTTAGTACAAGTGTCTGTCATTTAGGTAATGAAAGTTTATAGAATTTGCAATTTGTTTTCTCTGTATTTCCATTTCATCCCTTTGTACAGTCACATGTTTCACAGGAGAAAATAATCCACTAGAACCTAATATAGTACAATGAAGTAAATATTTTAAAATGCATATCTTAAAGGAAAATATTACAGAACAATCAAGATGTTAATGCTAAAATGTTAATATCAATACAGTGTTATATTCTTGAAAGAAAGGTAGAAATATGATAGACTCAAAAACTATATGTTGCTCTGGTTAAAATTTTTCAATTTCTCCCCTATAGAAATTCTTAAAGGGGATTTCAGTCCCTCATTATAATAATAATTTTTCCCATCATTTAATGTCACTCACTGTTTCTCTGCCTAATAATGTTGATGCAGTTTGCATAAGTAGCCTTGGAAGTAAAAAGGCAGCAAATATTAAAATGTTGAGCCTTGATTTAGTGACCATTTATCCAATTATCTAGTGAGGACTATGGATGATATCAGTAAAAAAGATGATGTACTAAACCTAAAAGTTAAGTGAACATTATATTTTGGTATGAGTTTATCTTTTATGTGGAATAATTTTATCCTAGGTAAGAGATGCCTGTATTTAACATAACCATGCTTTCTACATAATCAAATATATATTTGTTAGGATATTGGTAGAAATGACTTTCTCCTTCCTCCACAGTGGAGGAAGAAAAAGCTCCAATTTTTAGTGTATATGAATTAGGAAATTGTATATTTACATTTTTAAAAATATAAAAATGACAATTATTTTAAAGTTTAAAGTGATTGTATTACAGCTTCTTAAACTTATGACTAACTAAATGTAGCAATGTACCCATGAGAAACCAGACCAAAATATGAATTGAATGCATATTATCACTGTGACCTTGAACTTATAGTTGTTTGGGATAAAACAGACCGTGCCTTAAAATGATGAAGGAATGCCCTACAATGTTATAACTCTATATTTTACTACTGCTGGCCTTTTCAAATTTGCTCCAACTCCTTTTCTTTCAGGTCGAAGTAAAAGTTCAAAATAAAAGTTGACCATTGTTTCCCTTACTATTTACAGAACTATTGCGCTAGAGGCGTTCTCATTTGAAATTAAAACTTGACTTATACTTTATAGATATAGAAATTTAAGTTTCTCTAAAGTTTCTGAGAAGGTGGTGGCACTTCTGAACTTGTTATGCAGGGAAAGCTTAATCTTAAGCGTAATTTTTTGTCTTTTTAATGAATACTGTATCAAAGACTTAAGTTCTTCCCTAAGATCTGTTTATTTTTTTCTCAGATTATTGAGGTTTGTATTTATATGTAAAATAAAGTTATAATTTTTTTTAATAATTAATATTAGATTTATGTATTATATTTTTAAATATTTTTTCCCCTTTCTGTTTTTCTTCCTAATTATTTTCAAGGTATTGAGAGAACTGGCTCCAGTTTTGTTTTATTAATGGAAAGACTTGCATTTTTTAGTGTTTATCTAAAATAACAGATATAATTTTTATTAAAACAAATTATGCCATTCATAGGACATTCATGGTCTCTACTGAAAGATGCCTACAACTCTCAGAATTTGTTTATTTTTGTTTCAATTTTGAACATAAACGTAACACCTTTCTTCCCATTTCACATCCACTATTTCCCCAAAAAGACAAAAATATAGGTTTCTTTAAAAATGTGTAAAAAGAAAACATGTCTTTCTTTAAAACATGTGGACAAATTGAGATGGAAGTAGTTTGGGCAAGGGTATGTAATAAAATAAAATACATGGCCGTCAACATACATCAGTTTTCGTATTATAGTTAAAAGTTTATAGAGGATAAATTGTGTTATGCTGAGATAGGCTCCGTAATTATTTATTTGCAAATTGATAATTTTGTTCTCATCCAGAAAATGCAGTGCATAGTAACGATACTTAAGTGCAAAGGAACTTGTCTTATATATACTGAAAAATGATTGTCACCTTGTAGATCTTTCCATTTAAACATGCATGATCTTTTCCAGTGTTTTGTACAATGTGTGGTGTACTAAATACACATGTGTAATTTTGTGTTTTTGGTATGGTATAGTTAACATTATTACATTTAACTGGTTGTAATTCACAAAATGTGCTATTGTACTCTGTAGGGTGTTGTGACTGTTTTTATCTGTGTTTCAACGTTACAGTGTAGGGTTTAATAGACAAATATTTGCCTTCAGTCTCTGCTCAGGTATTGATTGATGTGTAGCAATTTTTGGTGCTTTCTTTTTAATCTGTCATAATCTGGTGTTCTGAATGTTCAATAAATTTGGTGAACTAGAACATGTGGTGCAGAGATTGCTTACCAGTTCATGTACTCTCCATAATACCGTCTGGGGCAAAAACCTTTAAAAATTTTTTTTTTACAGCATGTCAGACATTTCAGAAATTTGAATGCCTAAGCATGGAATATGATAAACATGATGCGTCACAGGTAAATATTGGAAACAAGGTAAATTCTAGTATTTTTCCAACTTGATATTTTATAGCTTCCCATGTGCATTTGTATGGATATTTGTATGTAAATCATTCGTATGTAAATCATCTCATCCTTCAGTTCTATAAGATATGTTCATATAATACTGGCTCAACAAAAAGGACTCAGTCACCATGCTTTTTACCTTCAGTATTTGTGTCATTCTGATCAAGAAAGAACTATAGAAGGTTAAGAGATAAACTAGAATGATCTAAGTATTACAATCCAGTACAATATTCAACTGGAACTGCAAAGATTTAGTTAGAAGGTATTTGAGAAGGACACTTTCTTTTTGTTTCCTGGCTTGCAGAAAATAACAGCATTATATATTTGTGGGCATTACAGAGATGGTTGCCCTAAAGTAGATGATACGGGATTGGAGTAGAAGGGGAGAAGGGAGTTGTTTTCTTTCTATTAAAGGTTTTGACCTACTGGAGAAAAATTAAAAGGAATTTAATTAAGAAAAGAACTTGATGTACCTTTTTCAGAAAAACAACGTATGCCTCATAGTTGCATTTTAAATTAGGAATGTGTAGGTCAGAATACGTTTAACGTGAACAAGCAAATGAACAAACGAATGGGATATCCTATCAGCTTCCTCCTACATGCTGCAGAATTCTCAGTCCTCTCAGAATATTCCCACACAGTATGTGTGATCAGCTATGATAAAGGCTTCATGTGTGAGGGCATTGGTATCAATCCATGTATAAAATATTAGTACATAATTTACTAGATTAAAAACGAATTATGTTTTCCTCCCATATCCCAATATGTTGCCTTGCACACCACTTAGAATGTAAGTACCTCCTTTGGAGAAATGTAGTTTAGAATATATTTTGTTACCCTTTGAATTTGTTTTTGATAGTTTTTTAATATCTGCGTATAATACTGAAAGCAAAAATGAGGTTTCTGAATCAGGAACAGAGTAATATTACTCAAAGCAATAACCACATCAGTTCCCCTTGCCACTCTTCCCCTTTGAGGGCTGCGTGATGAGGAACAGCTGAACCCTGTATGTGCAAAAGAGTTTTTAGCGGGGTTTTTTTTTGCACCACAGAAGAACTCTGAAATTATGAGTCGGGGAGTTTATATAAACCATATGCTGCCTCCCTCTCCTTCTGAGAAAAGAGAAGCCTTTGCTCTCAAATGTTTTATAATCCTTTGGAATGTAAACATGGCTCCAGGTTTCCTCTCTCCATAAAATCTAAACGTGGCTCCACCAAACAGGCAAGAGGAAGAAGAGCGTTGAAGAGAAAATGATTCTGGGAAATGGAGACAGCATGTCAATTTCCTTTGCTCAGGACGCCAAACCCTGCAGAAACATGAACATATTCATGAAGCATTTTTTCCCCGATAATCTTAATGGGGTACTGAAATAATGCCTCACTCTCTCCTGGCATTACTGTTAGAAACATTTAGTGACCTACAGTTCTGGATTCTAAGGCTTAGCAAGTAATTGGATGTGGTAGACAAGCCTCTTTCTGTTTTAGATTAGACCTGGGCCCTTGCCTAACATCCTAGGTGTGGAGGATATCATGAACTGAACAGAATTAACCTATCTCAATTTTCTTTATCTCAAAGATCTTAGGTACCATACTATAAGGGAGAGACTATATATGGGTTTTCCGAATCTCCATTTTGTTCTTCATCTTCTTGCAGTGTCTTACAGTTTTAGATTAACTAACAAGTTTGTTGTTCCAGTGAGACTATAATGCAATAAGATTTTGGGGTGCTAAAATGCAATCGACGAATCCTTAATCAGAAATATATTCTTTAATTCAACTGTGAAGGAAAAGAAACAAGTCAGGAAACTAAAAAGTACAAGGAATTTCAATAAAAACATTCTAGACCATTTTGTGGAGTTTGTACAGACTGTCTTGTCACCTACTTTATCCTTTTAGCAGACATTCATTGAGTACCTATTGTACCAGAATCCATGCAAGACACATTCACATTTAGTTTCTCATTTCGTTCTCCATTAAAAACCCTTAGAGGAAGGATTATTATCCCCATATTACAAGAAAGGAAATGGTCTCAGAGAAATTAAGCAATTTGCTTATAGTAGATTATAGTAGACTTCAAAGCAGATTGTCTAAGAAATAGAATTCCTCCAGTGAAGACTTGTAATATGTAATGATCAGTATTCACTTTCTACTGTCAAAATCTTTTCTGACCAACTAGTTCTTCCTCTTGCTTTGGAAAAAAAAAAAAAAAAAATTCCCGATCTGTTGTTCACAGCCTGCTTTGTTACTCTTTCTATACTTTCCCTTACAGATTTCATTTAGCTATGTGACTTCAGTGTGATATTCTTGGTGGATGATTCACCCAATCAGACAGTTATTCCCTCCATTTCATATCTAAGTATCTCCGAATCAATGGCAATAAATTTAGCCTCCCTGAGACTATCATCCGCAAACTATGGCTAGTGTTATTATTTTACAAGCCTGGGGTGAGGATTAAATGAGATAATGGACCAAATGCACCTGACACATAGTAGGTCCTCAAGAAATGATAGGTGCTTTCTTCCTAACTTGCCAATCTCTAGTTTTCTCCAAACTAGATAAAATTAGTGTCTATTCACTATTGAAATTTAACCATAACAGTTTTTCCTCCCTGAGTAGCAACTCTTAGTTTTCAAATTTCTGTTAAATCCAGTTACACAAGTTGAAAATCCATTCATTTTGATAATTTCTCCCTTGCCTAACTACATTGAATTAGTTACTAAGCCCTAAACAGTCTAGCACTTCAAGGTCACCCTTACATTGGTTCACCCCTTCCTGGCTCCCACGCTAGTGAGACCAATTTAGATCATCATTACTAGTACTCCAGACTTAAAGCAACTTTGTAACTGATTCTCTGTTGTCTCGCCCACTTTTCTTCTGCGTATATCCCCATTGTTCTTTTTTAAACAACAAATTAGTATTGTTACTTTTTTCCAAAAAGTTTTTAATCTTCCTCTGTGTTCTGTAATATACAGTTCAAACTTCTTGACACGGCCAATCTACATTTCCAGTCTTCTACCATTTTCCAAAGACACTCATCTCCCCACACAAACTATTTCAGTTAGGATTAATTTGCAAGAAATGGAAACCTAACCAACAATTCCTTAAACAGTCAAAGCTTCAGGTAGAAAGTCCAGGGTAAGACTCCATGAAGTCTTCAAGAAGCAAAGCTCTTATCTCGTTCCCTGTCCATAATGTGTGACTCATAACACAGTAGTGGCTGCATGATATTTTCATTCCAGGGGGAAGGAACAAAAGGAGCTCTGCTTTTTATTTACAAGGAATTCTCTCTCTCCTCCCTTTCCACCCTCATGGACTTCCATCTACAGCCCATTTTCTAGAACACCACATGGCCATTAAGAAATGCAAGGAAGGCTTCAGAAGCAAGTTTTCAAGTTGTGTGTGTGTTGCTACCCCAAAACAACATCTGAGACAGGTATTCATCTGCTGGGACTGCTATGACAAAAGACCACAGACTGGGTGGCTTAACAGAAATTTATTTCTCACAGTTCAAGTGGCTGGGAAGTCCAAGATCAATGTGCCAGCTGACTAGGGGTTAGGACTTCAAAATATGAATTGTTGAGAGACACATTCAGTTCATAGCAGAAAGGAATAAAAGGAAGCAAAGAATAGTTTGTAACAAGCAAACTGGGCTACTGTGTTCTTCTTTGAGTATCTTCCTTTCGCTACTTTTCTGCTTTTGCTCAAGAACTTCCTCCCACATCTGTCAAAGTTTTCTCCATAGAAGTCTACCAGTTGCCAGTCAGGAGTGAACTTGCCCTTCTACTTCTTACTGTCATAGTTCCATACTCTATGGGAATCATCACATTAGATTTCATGTACTCTTTATGTGTAGTTCTTAATAATAGTGATATTTACTTAGCATCTACATGTTTGGTGCTGTGCTAGGTCCTTTACCATATCATTTCTAATTCTTACATTGCAAAGTAGGGTTACTTTACAAATGAAATTGAGGTGCAGAGAGATTAAATAATATTTGACCAAGGGAATGGCAGAGACCGGTTTCGAAGATTGGTCTGAAACTCCACCACACCATGCTATTTCTCCAAGTAGATTGTCTACTTCTAGCAGGCAGGGATTGTTTCCCTTTCCATATAGTACCTCTTTTTATTCCCACACTTAGTGATGCACTATTTATGTGTTGATAATTACTGAAGTTGAGTGATAAGTATATGGACTTGCATTATTCTGTTCCCTTTTGTATGTGTTGGGAGTTTTAAATAATAAAGACATTTTAATTATGGTCTGAATATATTTACTAAGTAGCTTAATACATTTAGAAAGACTTTCAGAAATCATTGAAAAAAGTTTTTCTTTTTTAGTTAACCCTAGTTATTTCCAAAGAATTATTACCTGTGGTTATCCATATATATAAGATTACATATTATAATCCTCAAAGCAACCACTAGAATAATAATACAAGGAGGTACAGCTAAAATGCCAATGGAGAAATTAAAATAGAAATTTAAAAGTTTATAAAAGCCCAGACCATAAAAAAATTGATAAATTCGACTTCAACAGAAATACAAACTTCTGTTCTTTAAAAGATAGTGCTAAGGAAACGCAAGAAAATTCACAGGTGGGAGAAGCCAAACACATGTCTGATAAATAACTTGTATCCAAAATATATAAAGAACTCTCAAAACTCAACAATAAGAAAACAATTTATCTTTAACGAAGGTGCCAAAACATTCCAATGGGGAAAGAAGAGTATTTTCAATATATAGTGCTGGAATAAGTGAACACTCATGTGGGAGAAAAAAATACACCTAGACCATTCCTCA